AAATTCACATTTTAACACCAAGTATACACTCTTCACCATTAAACACCATAACTATACCCATCATGACTAAAGGGATCAATTTGCCAAAATGCTACATTTTACACTTCACAATTTACAATCTACGATTCACGCCATACGGCTACCCACAATATATTATAATGCAACACATAAGCTATATGTTATATATCGAAAACATCAACATTGGATGAAAACAACAAAAATAAAACAAGTTGATGTCATGCTCGCAGGCTCCCTCGCCTAGCGAAGCCTCAGCGAACGCTCGCTGCCTCATTCTCCTGGCGATCTTGCTAGCGAAGGCAGACAGTAGCTACTGGAAGGGTTCGCTACCCAGCTCGCCTAGCGAAGCCTTAGCGAACACTCTCTGGCTCGCTCGCTGGCTCGCTCGCTAACTGCTCGCCTAGCGAACACTGCGATACATCAAAACCCCAACTGTCCAAAAATCATCAGAAGCTCACAAATCACCCGATTTTCACCAAACCAGTTCCTGTAGTCTTAGCCCAACATTTCCCGACTAAACTACACGACTTCATCCAGATTTTACCCGATAAAACATCAATTCTACCGATTAAACCATTTTCGACCTAAAATGGCAAACTACACAAAACACCTAAACAATCCAAACAATCTCTACCTAATCACATGCATGGATAGAATCATAAACTTTCACACTCTTACCTCGATTAATTGATCAGACTGACGAAGAATCCTGAAGAATTTGACAGCCCTAGCCTTCTCTCTCTCTCTCTATATCTCTTTCTCCTTGTTCTTCCTCCTTAATCTTTCTCTCTTCCCTTTTTTCCTTTCCTTTCTATTTCCACTTTCTCTTATCTCCTTTTCTATTCTCCTTCTTCCATTATATTTTCTTTTCTTAATTTAATAATAATACAAATAATAATAATAATAACAATAGAATAACAATATTACTATTATCATTAAATTATTATCATTATTAATTATATCATATTAATATTAAATTCTATAGTTTATTAAATGATCTCCATAATTAAGGGCACTCACCAGCGCACTCAGACACCCCCCGCATGAAGACTCACAGAAATAAAATAACACCAAAAGACTAAATAATTAAAATGGGTGTTACATAACCGACTCCTGAACCCGAATTTGATTGCGAGACCATTTTATTTACCTTTAGGGGTTTTATCGATATTTTCCATTTTTTCGAAATAAATAAAGTTCGGTGGCGACTCTGTATTTTTCGCGTAACGACATCCTCTCTAGTATTTTCACAAATACTGGAAGAATTATATGTACGCCAACTCACCGAGTTTAGCTACAAAGGGACGATCATCAGGTGGTTTAAAACCTCAACCATGAAAATATTGATGGACAAATGAAGACCTATGATAAAAAAGGTTCACTCATAGAAAGGAACAACACATTCCCCATACTCACTACATATCCTTTTGTCTCCCTCAGGGGTAATTACACCCCAATCTGAAGAAGAACCCACATCGAGAAATGTCCTTTCAAAACTGACCTCACGAGAAATTGTAGAGGCAGTTGTCGAAATAACAAGATCAACCCACGAAGCAGAAACATCTTCTTTCATTTTTTGACCCATGATATGTATTGCTTATTTCGACTACAAATATGGTACATTATGGAAATACAGATGCCAAAAAAGCAAAGGTAGGTTTGAGAAACTAAAGAACTGACTCCTTAGATATCACATGGTGGCTTACTAATAGAAGATAATAAGCACCACCAATATCCGAATTTGCCTCAGAAAAATACTAGAGTATTTTAGTTTCCAAATATCATTTTGACAAAACCTATGAAAAGACATATGTAGCATTTGGCGCATTTAAAACGAAAATTCCCGATGACATCAACGTCACCTCTTAGCTTCCCATTCATGTTGGGATGCAACAAACACTAGAGGATGGAAACGGCAGAAGCTCTCACACTACAAAGCAGAGGTAAAGGCTTGGGGGACAATTATTTTTGACCGACCTGAAGACCTAACAACCGTGACCCAGAGAAGGCAATGCTCCATCAAGTCGCCCATAGGGTAGAAGTGTTATCCTGGGGTAGAGTACACGAGATATGAACATAGGGTCCATCAAATGCCCCTCGTATCCTATGCATAAAGAATAACGGGTTGTTATAACCTTCCCACTTTTTAAAGGGGAAGCACACTAATTTATAGGTACACAATTCAAATTTAAATTTCATTCACTCATCTTACTTACATATTGACTTTAGCGTTGGTGTGCTAACCTTATAGGTCAGACATTTCCTCACCACACTAGAGACTCAAGTCCACCATTGCATCTGACAACATTTAAGTTTTGATAAATTCTAGTTCCCAAGCGGAACACGTACCATGGGCCAAAATTATTATGAAGAGTAAGATTAAAATCACCAAACAAAAGCCAATTGTTAGAGGAATGCTTAAAAAAAATCTTAATAAGATTATAAGTCATGGACTTCTCGTTAGTGATATGAAAAATATAAAGACTAAATAACCATCCAATAGAGAAAAATATCATCAGGCAAAATATAACAACGAACATAATTAGGATTAGAATTGAGAATATTCAAGTTTATATTTTGCTTCAATACGATGACAAAACCACACACCTTACCACCCCTTGAGATGTCACAAAATACAACATGTACATTGTTTGAGAAACTAGTATTCATGATCATATTAAATATATGGTCATTAAACATTTTTTTTATAGTTTTAGTGAGGAAAATGATATCATGGCTACTCGAAGAAATAAGTTTGTTAAAGGTTCTAGTTGTGTGCGGTTTACCCCATTCACGTTAGTTCCATGAAAGCACCTTCATCGTGGTTGGGTAGCCTTATGATAAAAGCTCGTTGTTGTCCCAATTAGAGTCTTGGTGTTCAAATCAAACTCAATGATACTGCTATCTTAAAACTTCCTTCTTTTGCACATATAAGTAGTGTGCTTTTTGGTTACTTGTTTTTGGGTCATGAATGTAATCATCAAGATGTATCTTAAGGTATTTTTTACTCGAAACATTATGAACAACAAACCAGTTGGCTAACTAATCCAACATAGCATAATGTATAGTTATATTGACTTATGCAAGTTTTCTTCATATGGTTGTTATTGAAAGATTTATATTTGTGTTGTGCTAGTTCATTCACTAGTTGATTATAGTGTGTTTAAGGTCCATATGAGTGAGTTCATGTGATTCTTGTTAGATGAGTTTTACACTAGGGAATATTGAATATAGGGCCAAGAGCAACACAAGTGAGAGAAACACCACATACTCACCCAAAACCTTATTATCAATACTACTCACACTTGTTATATTATTCCAATACTCTCCCTCAAGTGTGAGTCCACAATGCTCCCCCTCATGTGAAAACTCTTTTGTCCACATATATTTGTAGCACCGTTGACACCTATTACTAGGCACCTCTTATTAGGTATGTAAGTCTGTCCCTTTACGAACCAAAGACTCATGATATCATGTTAGAGGAGTTTTACACTAGGGAGTATTGAGCATTGGGTCAAGAGCAACACAAGTGATAGAGATACCACATATTCACCCAAAACCTTAAGGTGTTAGGTGTATGAGTTCTCCCACTTATAAATACTCAAGTCACCACATTCCTATCCAATGTAGAACTATTATCCATACTACTCACACTTGTTATATTAGTCCAACAATTCTTTGACATGATTTTATGGGACCTTAACCGTGTTCTTCACTATGTCCTATGATTGCATATTATAATACGAACAAACGATGTTTATCACAACGAAAGTCAATCCGATTAACCAAATTATTCGAGTTCCCTATGTACATCATTGGTTTGGTAGGTTTTGGAACACCGAATTCAACTTTAGTCTTAACAAGGGTTACCTTCCTTAGGAACTCAAAGATGTTTGCTCAACAACCTCACATAGTTTAGAGTTTAATTTGAAACACATTTAAAAATAGTTATGCTAAAAGTCACAATTGAACATTGATTAGGATTTCTCGAAAGTCCAAGTCATTTAATATGGAATTTCCGATTCTTTTCTTTCAAAAGAGTTCTTGAAGATTTAAAGGCCATCCTTAAGGATACACCAAAGATCTTTATAAATCTATAAAATAGTATTTTCTATCTCAATTGATTTAGAATGCATATGTTAATCAATTATTAACTTTGCAAATAAAACAAAATTCTATGTCTTCATTATAATATCACATTCATCATATAATAGGAAATCAACATTCTTGTTCTGCTAATTGCATAGATCATGTGCATGTTTTTGAAATTATAATTACCCTTAAGATTAACATTGATTCTAGTATTAGTACCTCATGCAGATGACACGATAAAAAGCAATGGTTTATCTTAAAAGAAGTTTGCATATCATTGTTGTGTAAGATCCATTTAAGATTCATGATGCAAAAATGAGAAAGATAATCCAATAAAAAAGAAAGATGCAAGAATGAAACAAACATAAAATTACAAGAAAAAGAACGATGTAACATTGAAAAAAAAAACAATACTAAAAAGAAAAATATAAAACAAAAAGGCTCATACCATATATATATATATATATATATATATAATATTTGGGTAGAATATATTTTTATAATAAATATAATTAACGGTTGAGAAAAAAAAGTTTATGTTCTACTTCCTTATCTTCCTTTTTCTTTACTATTTTATTTATTTATTTTTCTTTTAATACTGTACCATTGTAAGAACTTTGTAACAGAAAAAACAAAATTATGGTAAAAACTAAGAAGGTCCTAGAAGAAAAAGTAAAAACAAAAAATAAATAAAAATAAAAATAATGATAAAAAATAACAGAAACATAGAGAGGGAAAGGAAGAACTGAAAAGAACCTTTATAGCTATCGAATTCGCGCGATGCGATTGCGGTGGCGTTGGCGGCGTTCAGTATTGTTGAGGTCCCCATCGACGACGGCAACACCGTCCAATGCTGTGGCGGCTTCACTGTGTTGTCGCCGTCGGCGCTGATGGCTCTGCAGATGACCTGGCAACCTAATCTTCTCCCTCACAAACGCAAAACCGCTCCTCCTATAGGTCTTCGTAACCTTGGCAACTCCTGCTACCTCAATAGCGTTCTTCAGTGTCTCACTTTTACTCCTCCTCTCGCCAATTTCTGTCTCCGTTCTCAACATTCGTCACTCTGTAAGAATTCTCTCCCTTCAATTTCATTTTTCCCTTTGTTCTCTGTAATTTCTGTAACCTAACCTAATTTTCATCTTTTTCAGGCGACTCTTCTGGTTCTTCGTGTCCGTTCTGCATACTCGAGAAACAAATTGCTCGGTTGCTCCGTGTGGATCTCACTTCCGACGCTCCTTCAAAGATCCAAAGCTGTCTACGTCTCTTCGCTGAGCACTTCCGTTGTGGTCGCCAAGAGGACGCACACGAGTTTCTTCGTTATGTTATTGATGCTTGTCATAACTCGTGTCTTCGTTTGAAGAAGCTTAGAAAGAAAGGAGGTGGTGGCGGTGACGGTAGTGCTTCCGCCGTGAAGGACATTTTTGGTGGTGCTTTGCAGAGTCAGGTTAAGTGTCTCAGTTGCGGATACGAATCAAATAAGGTTGATGAGATAATGGATATTAGTCTCGATGTTTTTCATAGTAATTCCCTTAGGGATTCCATGCAGAAATTTTTTCAGCCTGAGGTTTTAGATGGAAACAATAAGTACAAATGTGATGGGTAAGTGTGGGTTCTCTTTTTCTTTTTCTATTTTGTTTTCTCAGCCTTACAGTTTTATTGATTGATTTGTGGATGGTATTTAGTTGTAAGAAGATGGTGACGGCTAAGAAGCAGATGTCTATACTTCAAGCACCTAATGTACTTGTGATACAGCTCAAGGTTGGTTGGTTATATTCAGATTTCGTAGAAAATAGTTGTTCGTTCATATTCCGCTATGTTATAGTGCTTTAGCGCTGCTATAGTGTCTATTTGACAATACATCATACTAAATAGCGAATTATGGGACAATATCAATCTGTTCATATTCTGCTATGTTATAGTACTATAGGACTGCTATAGTGTCTATTTGACAATACTTTGTACTAGATAGCGAATTGTGGGACCATCAATCTGTTCAAATTTTGCTACGTTATAGTGCCTATGGCGCCGTGATAGCCACTATTTGAAACACTGGTTATATTGTAATAGCATATTGCAGAACAAAAGTGTTTGTTTTGGTGCTTTATTTTTTCTAATGATGGTGAGTTGATGAATTTGAATTGTAGAGATTTGAGGGCATATTGGGTGGCAAGATTGATAAGACTGTTGGATTTGAAGAGGTTTTGGTGCTTTCTAGCTTCATGTGCAAAGCAAGCCAGGTATGTTTAGTGTTTGTTTTGAACTAGTTACTGTGATAGTGTGTCAGTTTTTGCACATTGATGCACACTTGACATAATAATTGATGCATAAGGCATGCTAGCTAAATTTCTGTGTCTGGTTCTTTCTTTAATCTTGTCACTTGTAGTCTCCAAATTTTGATATTCCACTTATCCGAATTATTCTCTAAAATCAGGGGGATGTCTCTGCTGAAACTTTCCTTCCAATAATTTGCTATGTTCATTTTTGCTAAATTTGTTTGGTTAATCATACATGATTAGTTTTACCGTTTCTTGTAGCTCCTATTTGCTGTAGTTGTTATTGTTGTAATAAAAAAGAAAATTAATTAAGAAATAGGAAAAATATAAAGAGAGGAGGATTAGATATTCTTCATGAGAAAATTAAAGTAGAACTTAAGATTACAATCGAACCAAGATATTCTTCGTGGTGGTCGTGGTTTTCAAAGAGGAAGAGGTGGTAGGTGTGGAGGTAGATCCAAGATTTAATGTCAGATTTGCTTCAAGACTGGTCATATGATGCTAGTGTGTGTTATCATAGACATACATCTATGATGCCAGCTGTGTGTCAATCTGCTCCTCAAGGATCCTTGCAAAGGTCTCCATATTGGAACCAATGGACTAATACTACCACTGCTTCTTCTATGCTTCCATATTACTCCGATCAGTGGTCCCTTACTCCTCCTAACCAGTGGCTTGCTCCCTCATTAAGAGGTCCACCACCTGGATTTCCTCAGAGGCCTGCTCATCAACCACAAGCCTTGCTAACTGGTGCTGCAACAGAGGTTCCTAATGCTAACAGTCAGCTTTCTCAGGCATGGTTCCCAGATTAAGGTGCTACGCGTCATGTCACTAACAATGCTGATTTTCTCTCAGAAAGTCTAACTCTCGCTGGCACTGATCAAGTGTTGCTAGGCAATGGCCAAGGTGTGCTAATTACCTCCATTGGTTCAGCTTCATTTTCATCACCTTATCACACACACACACACACACACACACACACACACACACACACACACACACACACACACACACTACACACACACACACACACACACTACACTTACACTTCCCAGTCTTTTATTGGTTCCCGCCATCAAGAAAAACCTTATGTCTGAGAGCAAGTTTGTTAAAGATAATAAGGTGTATTTTGAGTTCCATGCTGACAAATGTTTTGTCAAAACACAGGCCAATTCTCAAGTTGTGCTCAAGGGAATGGGGAGTGTTGAATGAAGATGGACTGTATACCTTTCACTCTCTCCCACCTAGTGTGTCTAATGCATCAATCAACAACATCACCAGGGAGCCTTCTACTACAACCATTCCTATTAATTTTTCTTCCTATAGCTGTGGCATAATAGGTTAGGCATCCTCATCATGAGGCCCTTAGGACCATGTTACAGTCCTGCAATATCCCTGTGCCACATAAGTCTCCCTTGGATTTCTGTACCTCTTGCTGCCTTGGCAAAATTCATAGGCTACCTAGTACACTTCCACACACCACTAATGCTAAAGCTTTTGATTTACTGTACTCGGATGTATGGGGCCCAGCTTCTATGAATTCTACTCGTGGTTATAAATCTTTGTTGACTTGTGTTGATGCATATTCCAAATACTCCTGGGTTTTTCCACTGAAATTGAAGTCTGATGTTATGCTCACTTTCACACACTTTGTCACAACCATTGAGGTTCAATTTGGCACCAAAATCAAGTCAGTCTAGACTGATGGTGCAGGTGAGTTTAAACCTCTGAACTCACTGTTTCATACCCAAGGCATAGCTCACAGGTTGGCCTGTCCTCACACACATCACCGGAATGGTGCAGTTGAAAGAAAACACAGGCATGTTGCTGACTTTGCTTGCTCAAGCAAGTCCTCCCTTAAAATTTTGGGATCATGCCTGCCTCACTGCCACCTATCTAATCAATAGAATGCTAACCCCCATTCTAGACATGAAGTCTCCCTACTTCATGCTCTATGGATCTGTTCCTGACTACGAACATCTCAAGACATTTGGCTGTGCATGCTACCCTCATCTCAGGCCATACTCCTCTAACAAGTTCAACTTTCATTCTCAGGAGTGCATTTTCTTAGGGTACTCATCAAGCCACAGAGGTGTTAAATGCCTTGACCCTAGTGGGAGGATCTACATTTCCAAGGATGTCCTATTCAATGAACTTAAATTTCCCTATCCCATCCTTGCATCCCAATCTTTTTCCTCACTCCAACAGTCCAATGTTCAACTCTCTGCACCCTTTCCCTTCTCACCTATTTTATCTTCACCACCCACTCCCCCATCAACTGCAAATGACCTCAGTTCCATCCTTCAAAGTTCTGCCTCTGCTCCATCCTCTTGCCATAATTCCAGTCAGGTCTTTCACTCCTCTCCTACTGCTTCAGCTTCTCCTTCTGTCCCACTTGTCCTTAATGCTCAGCCATCATTCTTAAGCTCTAGTCATCCACCAACTCCATCTAATGTCAGTCCATCCACCTCTTCCACTGATTCTAGCTCAGCTAGCCCTCCCTCTCAGCAGCTACCTCCCTTAAATCTTAACAACACACATGTCATGAGTACTAGAAGAAAAAGTGGGATAGTCAAACCTAGATTGCATCCCACCTTACTTGTGTCTGAACTTGAACCCTCGTATAAACTGGCTCTCAAGGATCCTAGGTGGGCAGCTGCTATGGAAGATGAGTACAAGGCCTTGATGGCCAATCACACATGGACACTTGCTGCATTACCTTCTGACATGAAGGCTATAGGCTGCAAGCGAGTGTTTAGGGTCAAGCAGAATCCTGATGGGACAATTAATAAATACAAGGCTAGGCCGGTGGCCAAGGGGTTTCATCAACAAGAAGGGTTTGATTTTACTGAGACATTTTCACCTGTTGTGAAACCTGTGACTGTCAGGATAATCCTCACTATTGCTATTTCAAAAGGGTGGCATATTACTCAACTAGATGTAAACAATGCTTTCCTCAATGGTCATCTTCAAGAAGAAGTTTACATGAAGCAGCCCCCTGGCTTTGAAAACAACAGGTCAGACCGTCTTGTTTGCAATCTTAATAAGGCAATCTATGGGTTCAAACAAGCACCTAGGGCCTGGTTTGAAATGTTAACCCTGGCACTTAGGACTTTTGGCTTTACATCAAGCAGGTGTGATCCTTCTTTGTTCACCTTAGTCACATCCACATACACTATCATCATGCTAGTGTATGTTGATGATATTACTGTGACTGGTAATTCTCCATCTCAGATTCAAGCCTTAATTGCCAGATTGAATTCTCAGTTTGCTCTAAAACAGCTAGGCAACCTTGAATATTTTCTAGGCATTGAAGTATCTCATCAAAAAGATGGATCTTTGTTTCTGTCTCAAACCAAATATCTAAAAAATCTTCTAGCCAAGGCAAAGCTCAGTGATGCAAATGGGGTTCCTACACCTATGATTTCTAGTGTCAAACTCACTAAACATGGTGCTGATGTTCGGCAGTATGCTACCTACTACAGGTCCATAGTGGGAGCACTGCAGTATGCTACTATCATCAGGTCAGAAATCAGCTATGCTGTCAATAAGGCATGCCAGTTCCTCTCTAATCCATTAGAAACTCGCTAGGCATTTGTCAAAAGAATGTCAAAAGAATCCTGAGGCATCTCAAAGGATCCCTTTATCATGGCCTGCATTTACAAAGAGCCTCCACATATGTTCCTTTTTCACTTACTGCATTTTCTGATGTTGATTGGGGGGCTGACCCAGATAACAAAAAATCTACATCTGGGTCTTGCATTTTTCTGGGCTCTAACTTGGTTTCTTGGTGGTCAAAGAAGCAGGCATTGGTGGTTAGATCTAGTACAGAGGCTGAATACAGGAGCTTGGCTAATTCTGCTGCAGAAGTCCTATGGATTCAATCCTGCTGACTGAACTAAAGATGCCTTTCACCACACCTGTGCTGCTATGTGACAACCTCAGCACAATGGCCTTGTCTCACAACCCTATCCTTCATGCCAAGACCAAGCATATAGAGCTTGATATATTTTTTCTTAGGGAAAAGGTGTTGAGCAAGAGCCTCATTGTCAAGCACATTCCTGCTTTTGACCAGTATGCTGATCTTCCCGCCAAATCTCTCTCACCTCTCAAGTTCTTGCAACTTAGAGACAAACTCAGTTGTGGACAAGACCTCTCTTCAAGGGTGATGCTGGGCTTGAGGGGAAGATATTAGAGTTTATGTATAGAATAGTGTAAGGGTATTTGTGTAATCTCCAACTGTGCTGAGTCAGCACAATTGTGTGCCAGCTATATAAAGCTGTGCCCTAACTCTTGTAACAACTTAACACTTTCTGTTATTGATTAAGAGATGAGTTAGTTACAACTCAGTCTTCTCTCTCTAATCTCTTCTCTCTTCTCTCTTCTCTCACTCTTTCATCTTCATCTTCAACCTATGCTTACTTTCTAACAGGTAGACACTCCCCCTCACGTCCTTATTACATTGCACAATTCCGTTTTTTCCCTTCTAGCATTTACCTATCAAATCTTAACCCACAGTCGGACTGCAACTCCCCATCAATTGGACATTTAACCTCCTTGGCCCTAATGTTTAAGAACATTAATTACTTGGTGAAGACTAACAACGATTCTGTGTATATTTTTGTTAGCCTGGTATTACATGGTCAATGTAGTCTGCCTTTTTCCCCCATATTCTAATAGTATTATGTTTCACTTTCTTTTTAACAATCTTTTTTGTGTAGGATCCACAACCAGAGTATAAGCTCTTCGGTACTATTGTGCATTCAGGATACTCACCGGAGTCTGGTCACTACTACGCTTATGTAAAGGTTTGTGGATTTATAGTAAATCTAAATGCAAGTTATGTAGTCAACAATATGTTAATTTATGGTTAAGGTTGTACTTTCTATTCTGTTCACAGGATGCAATGGGTCGGTGGTATTGCTGTGATGATTCTTGTGTAACACTTGCAACCCTGCAAGAAGTTTTGTCTGAGAAGGTTTATATCCTCTTTTTCTCTCGAACTAACCAAAGGTCAGCAGCAGTTAGTAGTTCTCTTGCCTCAAATGGTGTAAAGCTCCATCATTCCAATGGGAGTCAGACATCTGAATCTTCTAAGGTTGATGTACAACTCATAACAGTGCAAGCAAAATCAAATTCTGATCAATCTTCTTGGAAAGATATGCCGAGTGTATCTAAGATTGGTAAAGTTCCTTCTGGCTTACGAGTGAAGTGTGACATTAATAGTAGTTCAAATTCCAAAAGAAGTCCTGCTCATGTAAGTGTCAATGGGAAAGTTGACATGTTTAGTAGTCAGCCATTGCTAACAAATGGGCATGCAAAAGGTTTAGTTTCTTTGGAAAATGGTAGGAAAGATCCTTCTTCATCATTACCCACCATGAATGGCTTTGACAAAAATAAAATTGATGCTGCTAACAACTCGGTAAGAAAGGAGCCTACAGTAACAAATGGATATACTGGACTTCATACGGCTTATACCGATTGTGTAAAACCAGATCCTCCGGAAGATATTGATAGAAGCAAAGTAATATCAGGTACAGGGTCCGGAAACTTTAAGCGAGGAAGTAACGGTGTCATCAACAAATCTAAAATGTTAGGGAATAAGAGAAAAGTACAGGAGGCTCCATGCATTTTGCTTGCACACGATGATCAGTCTCGTGCTAGACTTGAAGAACTGAAAGACATGTATGATCATATATACCTTAGCTCAATCTTTTATTGATTTTTTCGTACTAATTTTATTTGATTATTGGGTATAAAATGAATTGAATCGTCAATGATGTCTAGCTATGTTTTATGTTTTCTGATATATATTGAAAATTGAAATGCATCCTCTTATACTTTTGACAGTATTTCATAAACGAGTTTAGAATTTGGTGGTTCAGTTCAGACTGTTTAAGTTAACTAATGTTTGGCAGTTTTTTTTCCTTGGAATCTTAATTTTATTGAGGCTTTGGTATTTGTTATTGTCTGGATAGCCTTATTGCAGGGTAAGGGATGCCATTTGGTAACTGGTATACAGTCCACCTAGCCCTTCAAATCCAAGGAAATATTGTGGATCAATAATTAGTGGGTGCTCTGAATAACCTAATTATTCATTATTTATCTCTTCATTTTCTTGTCTCTTTATTCAGTATCTCACATGCTAAAATTCGATAATGTTATACTTTTCTCTGGATATCTCTTGTTAAATCATTCTGTACGTAACTCCTCTTGCTAGTTGCCATCTTGTTCTCGTCTATTTCTTTTTACACTCAGTTCAATACCTTTACACTAATAAAGCTATTATATACCTTTACACTAATAAAGCTATTATATGCCTGATACTGATACTGTATTTTCAAAACCAGTCTTGCAAAAAAAGCAAAGTCAGTTTTGAGGTCATGTGGCTGGGCAGATGAGGTTTATATGAGTATGAGAAAAAGGTTACATGAAAGAGAAGCGGAGAATTTAACTAGTGATGTTAAAAGGTAAGTTTGATCATATTTTATTTTGCTTCATGCATTGGACTATTGAATATTGACATTTCACATTAACATGGATGTAGCAAAATCCGTGAAAGTAAAAAAAACCATTTTCACTATTACTTATGAAGTTTGTATGAGAATGAATTTAAACTAGAGTTTAATCATTATGCAACAGTAGTGTTAGTTATATTTTACTGTCTTGCCATAGTGTAAATAAGGTTTAAGAAATAATATTATGATTAGTAGGACTGTGAAATGTGATTAGACGTTTGTGGAAAACTTTTTTACATTGTTGGTGCGTATTTAATTAATTTTTTAAACTATTACTGTAGATTCCAGGTGAGTTGCTTTAGTGTATGTTTGGTTCAATGGAGGAAATGGATTTTTAAATGCTGTGTGTTTGGTTCAATGGAGGAAATGGATTTTTAAATGCTCCTTGTTTGGTCAATAAGGGGGGAGAGGGTGGAATTTTAATGATGGAAAAATGTTAAATTATGTTTTCACGCTTATAATATTTAAAGTCATGTTAAATATAGGGATATATACGTCAAAATTTCAACATATATTATCTCCCTTCCGAATCTTGCGTTTTAGGAGACCTAAAAATAGCTCGAGAGAGATTTTGCTCTCCTTCAAAAAGTTAAACAAAACCACTAAAATATGAAGTAATACCTCCCTTCCCCTCTCCTCAATTACCCTCCAACCAAAAAAAGCATCTACCATGCCGAGTTCTTACACGACCCTTACAGTTTTGATAACAAGTTGTTCTTGGTAGTGTTATCGACAGTGGATGTGCAAAGCCTAAAATCCACTATTTTATGCCACGCCATGTCGTTGCCTTCCCTTACAAATTGGCAGCGATTGGCAAAAAATTTGCCACCGCAATCTGCCATAACCTCTGCTAAGCCCATATCACAAGTATATTAGAGGAGAGTCACAAATGGAAGTGGAGGAGGAAGGCCCAATAACAACTGTGGGCTGTTAGAATATTATAAAATATCTTATACTATCTTTTATACTCCCTCCGTTTTGTCGTTTTAGCAAATAAAATTTGTTTCAAAATGACTTTCATTCTCACATTTCAATATAACAATGGTTACTATTTTTCCAATTGTGTCCATTGATTATTACTCATTACACTACTTCCAATACACTAATAAGGTTAATTTAGTAAAAGTGTAATGTTTTATAACAACATTATTGCATTTCTTAATCTGTATGCAAAAACTTTAAACGATGGTCATTTTAAAACGGAGGAAGTATTAATTTAGAGAATGTTAGAGTTATCTCTTTAAGATTAAATTTTGTATTTCTTATTATTATCATGATTTTCTCTTGATTTATGATTGAGTCTAAGGATCTCAATAAACAGGGATCAATATTGACTGTTCTGTATCAAGTCAATATTTTGCTATTATCATTAATATTTTTCTCTATCTTTTGCCTAAAATCCCACAACTTCTACATGGTAACCAGAGTCTATTTCGATCCTCCTTGAACAGTCTTGCCACTATTATGCTGAAGAGTTCTCAAGAGGTTGGAAATATAATCATAGTTTCCTCTTTTCTTTTTTTGATGTTTTTCCATCCTTTTCCACTTCCACTAGTTATCATCAGAAACTTTTTCTGACGCCTTTTATGTCACAACCACCTCTTTTGTGCATAAAATCTTCCAATCTACGCAACCCCTAAATTTTCTACTACAAAAACAGATCCACACACTCAAGTGTGGCAGCCTTTCTGGTGCCTGACCCGGATTTCAGTCTCAGTTCTTGTTGTCTTAGTCCAGTTCAACTTGTTTACCCATTCTGTTTTGTTATGGAACATCCAGCTTGTGGGTCCCACTTTTAAGATGTATTGTTGGGACCTCCTTGCCGTTGTTAGTCATTGTTTGTTGTGCATTGTTCACTGTTCATGTTGTTAGATGTTTTGGGTTTTTTCTGCATTTATCACTGTTCGTGAACATCTTTGGTCAGTTTGCACATCTTTATGTTGTCTGCTTCAAGTATTTGCTGCCTTTGATACAAAACTGTCATATTTTGATTTTGATTGAAGTTCTGTGCCATAATCCATTTCAATTAGAGTTTCAGATACTAGAGTGAGCGCTGGCTCAGTGTTGTTTAAGTTTGATCTGAAGTTATGACACTTCCAGATTTAGGATTCAGTAGCCGGAATGAGCACTGGCTTTACACCTTTTTTGTTTGTTTTAAGTTGTGACACCTTAAGTTTGGGCTTCAACTGCCGGAGTGAACGCTGTGACCCTATGTTGTTGTGGGTTAGTTTGATGTGGTGACACCTTTCAGTTAAGGCTTCTGCTGCCTACATGAGCACTGACATACTACTATTGCAATTTGGTTTTTCTTATTGTTGAGCACATTTGCTTCTGACCTATTCCACGGCCTCAATTGTTTTCATAGCCATTAATTTAATCCTTTCTGTTCTCCGAATCTTTGTTTATTACTCTATGTAGTATGCACCGAGTCAGTATTCTATTCTCATGTAGTTTCTAAGCCTCCATTAATTACTCTGTTCTGAGTCTCTGTTTTGTCCTCTCTGTTCAATGTTTCTTGCTCTACTGTTTGTTCTCTGTGTGAGCTTATGCAGTTTCCGATATTATGCCTTAATTTTTTGATACTTGTGAATTTCTTCTCCTATACTAGGTTCTATTTATTGGGAAGTTTAGGATTCTATCCTTTAACCAGAAAGAATTTTCTGATGTAGGATACCTATCGACTATCGTGTGTATGTTATAGTTTCCTAAACATGCTTCTTGATAGTAGCAATTGGTTCCCAAGTGGCATCGATGTCTGAAATTTTCAATTTCCTCCACCCTTTATTACATTTCTGAAATGAAATTGATGCCCAATACCGTTATGTCCTTGCTCTACTGTTTGTTCCAGTCTTGTCGATGGCGGACCATGGTGGAGAGCCAAAATCCCGCCATAGCGGCCACTTTGCGGCACCATTATAGCAGATTATTAGAGTATTACTTAGCTAGGAATAGTTCTAGACTCAAGACAGACATCTGTCTGCTTGAGTGTAATGACAAACCTGCTCAAGCAGGTCCTGGTTGCTAATATAAGCATTGGACATCTATCTGCTTGAGTGTAATCACAAACCTGTTATAGAGCTTCCATTTCTATTAAAACTAACTTTTGATTATTTTGAAAAGATGTTACAAATGATTGCACCTGTGTTACCTATATTAGTAACCAGGTGACCTGCTATAGCAGGTTTGTGATTAGACTGTTAGATCTGGACTGGAGGTTTGATGCTTGCTCATGTCTATGCTTGTCCATATGATAATAAGAAAATGGGCTGGGTTCTACTGGATGAAACTTGCGCTACTTAAGGAATAATGGATGGCTGGAGGGGTATACGAAGAAATAAAGAAAAAATTGTAAATTAAATTGCAATGGAAGAGTTTGGGTTCCAAGTGAACAGATCTATACATGCAGAAACTAAAAGATAAATGAATCCCACGCTATATGGATGTCCAGCAAATTTGTCAAAAATGGGGTGGCAAATAGGCATGCCCGCCCCGTTTAGGCCCTCCCCGCAAAAAATGGTGCGGGCGGGCATAGTTGAGGGTCCGGGCCTAAAACCTTGGGCCCGTCCCCTGAAAAAGTGATGGCGGGGTGGGCCCACGGGCACTGCACTTTAAGCTTAACAATGCAAAAAGTTATGTTAATGTTGGGGCTTGCAAAAGTTCCCATAAAAAATGGGATGGGGTGGGGCGGGGCGGGGCAAACACATTAGAGGGTGCAAGCCTAAATTATTGGCCCGTTCTGCACTAAAGTGCGGTCAAAACGGGCATGCCCAACTGGCCGGGTCCGTTTTGCCACCCATAAATTTGTGTGAACTTTTAGCTCATAAGATTCATCGAGCTTTCCTCTTCACTCTAATCGCGGAAGTTTCTATCTCAGATTGCTTTGCAAATTGAAGAAACAACAGGATCGGAGCATGCTTTTTGAGTTTTGGACCTTCGAGCAACTTGGGCCAGGAACATCATAGTTTAAGAAACCCCTAATCTTCTTCATTGACTTAATTTCATGATTTTCCACTCCAAATTTTGTAAGACCACCCCTTCCTCCTTTTCCATCGAAACATATCATCTCTACTTTGTTAGCACTCTGTCCTTAGCCTGACTTCTGGCTTGGGCCTCTTTAGTTTGCAGGTTTGAGCCTTTGGGCTGTCTGTCACTGTTTTGCAGCCTATATGCCTTACATTTCAGATTGGAGCCTGTCCGAATGTCTGTTTGTCATGGCCTCGCTGTTCCGTCTGAAACCCACCATTTATGGCCATCTTTGCGTAGCTTATGATAATAACTACTTCCTCTGTCTCAAATTGTAAGTCAATTTGTCAAAAAAAATTGTCCCAAATTATAAGTCACCTTACATTCGCAATACAATATTAATGACATTTTTCTCAATATACTCTCAAGTATGTATTATTATTTATTCTTTCAACTCCTTTAATTTCTCTCTCGTGTAATTACGAGGAACATTACTGTAAAGTCATACATAATTTGTCTTTCCTATAAAGTAATAATTAAGTTTCTTAATTTGTGTGAAATGCCTAAACTGTCTTATAATTTGGGACCGAGGGAATAGTTCATAGTGTGACTTTGTCTCGACATCCCAACTTTTCCCAATTGACCATAGTGCATTATTCCTATAGGTAAAGCCATAGTATCATTTCTCAATTGAAAAATGAATAAAGAAACCAAGGGTTGCTGAAACCCCAGTTATAATATAACGAGTGGTTCTTAAAGTGTTCTTTTTTTGGTACAATCTTTAAGTGTTCTTGTTTGTGTTCTTTTATATTTTAAATTTTTTAAAATATGCCCTGAAAATTTCCTTTACCATTTCTTAGTATGTGAACTATGTTGAATGAGATTTCACTGCCTTTGGTTATAATTCTTGACTTAGATGTGTTCTACATGCCTTTGCAGGGTGTTAATACAAGATGCCCAGAGTGTTTTCAAATCACAGATTCCAGAGTTACTTAGAAAGGACCTAATTGATTTAGCCAAAGAAAAGTACATTTTGAAGGACCTTGATCAAAACACGGTATGTGGTGTTCTATAATTCTATTCTAGTGATTTACCATTTTTGAAGCCTTAGTTCCAACAGTGATTCAGGCAAAATTAAAACCATTGATAGTTTGTGTTTTCCCTAAAAATGTTGCAGCATGTTGATCTGTCTTGCTAGTGAGGCCTGGTGTGTATACTGTATTACTAATTATCATAGGAATGATGTTACCCATATTGGGATGCTCAGTTTGGGTTTGTCACATACTGACTCTTTGAGATAGTGCTGGCGATTGTGGCAGATGGAGACTAATCATTCAAGTCTTCCTCGCAGTGGCTTTGTAATGAATTTCTTAGGTGATCCATTCATATTTAATGTAGAATTTCAGATATCATGTCTGGCCATGTTCTCTTTCTCCCTGGAGGCTACGAAGTTTTATTGAATTTTTTAGGAGAGTATGCGGAATTCTATTCATTTTGTACAATCTGTTTTAGTCTTGTATTGGAGCAAAATCATATTTTTCTATAATGTTGCTCAACAAATTTTGCACCTTAGATGAGGCTGTATATGACTTGTGGATATATTCTATCATTGTACTTTTGTTATAAATTGAAAAAATGTGTGGACGATATTAAGATATTTGAAGGATTTATCACTCAGTTCGGTAAATACAACACAACCTATAGGAGGCAGAGGTAACATATAGGGATGTGCTTTTTACTAGGCGCTTTCTCACCATCTTGAAAAATCACAAGAGAATGAATATAAAAGTTGCAATAATTTTATCTATTATTATTTCAAACATTGAGGTTAGGAACATTGATGAATTTGATGAATTTGGTAAGGGTGCGGAAAGAGAGGGATTCGAACGTAAATGAATTTGATAAGGGTGCGGAAAGAGAGGGATTCGAATGTAAACAAAAAGCCTACATAGCAGTTCCAATGCTATGCCTTGAACCACTCGGCTATCTCTCCTGTCCCTAAATCGAGTGAATAGTGAGGCATTTATATTCCATTTGCGTAAGTGCACACAATACAATCAATTGAAACTAAAAAAAAAATAAATTCTATTTCAATTTCATAGCCCATCAATTGAAACAAAAAAAATAAATTCTACTTCAACTTCACGGTCTACCGTAGAATAAAGTAATTTGATTAAGTTTATTTTTATGTTATTTCGTACCTTATTGATTAATAAGGTCGTAAAATATGTGTCAATATGTTCAAAGTAAGAAGAAAACTGTTTCGTAAAATTGTCACTCTTAATTAGTTTGACCTTTTTAAGGGCATTTTTAATTTTAACTGGTTTTGAAGGTGGTCTCGAATTCGTGATTTCAGGATAGGCAATGTTTCCTCACAAATTTCTCTAGGATCACTTTTCATTCGGTCATGGTAAATATGTTTTATTTATCATCTTTCATCACACCGTCATCATCAAACCGAATCATTTTTTAGTGAGTGTAAATTAAATCTCATCCATACTTATTAGTGTGTTGACTTTTATTTTCTTTGCAATTAAACAATGGAAGACCATACGCCTTCATAAGTGTCCAACCACACTTGAAACTATCTGAATCAGTTTTATCTACTCGCTCGGCTTTGTGAAAATAAAATTCAATTTCGTCTGAGATATGTTGCCAACTAACTGTGAATAAATAATGTTATCTTTGAATCGGTGCTCTAACACAATAATGTTTCAACCAAAAAATATTTGTATCTCATTATGTTGGTTTCAAAATATTTGGTTCACGACGTCCGAATCTCAACAAAAATAATCTATATTGTTTTTCAACTATTCTTCAATGTAACAACATATAGAGATTCAACTCTCTTAGCTGCTGTATTGCCAAAATGTCTAACTTGATCGATCAAGGCACAAACAATCTTCTCTTTCACTTGGTCTAAAATAGTACTCTCAACATATTTCAAAAAATCTGGATATCTCACACTCAACCTTCTGAAACCTATTATAAATTCTTCAGTGGAAGAATTTATTATATCATTTTAGAAATTCATTATCTTTTTCAACACCACACAAAGTTTGACCATTTTTTCATCTTCCCCTTTGATTTGTTTGGTGTCTATCAAATGTTTTAGTCGATTTCTCACATTTTTAGTTATGTGATACTTACAAAGTAATTCATACAATGTAGGATAAACCTTTGCAACCGAATTCATCAATGCGGTGTCACGATCAATGACAATTACATTTGACACATTGATTTTTCAACATAGTCTTGCACATTTCTAAAGCCTATGTAACATTGTTCTATTTTTTGGATTCTAAAAATGCAAAATCCGCTGAAAAAGTCTTCTTCGTCAAAGTAACACCATGGATTTTTAGAAGTGGAACCTACACTTGTTGGTCTTATACGTTGAATAAATCATGAGTACATTGGGAGATGTGTTGAACAACTTTATAGAATCGGGATGAGTCTAAAATATATCTCGAACAATAACTTTTTTCTCACAAGCTCTGCACCTAGAAATATAGTGTTCATCATTGTCATACCCTAAATTTGTCCTACCCATTTTCAATTATTTTCGCTTTTCGATTTTATTTTCTATTTTACGTTGTCTGCTTATTTCTTGTTATTTAGACACATGTCCGCTCGCAATTGGTCGATTTTTTAGAAATTTATCTTTATAACCAATTAAGGCGTGACACGTGGCCTAACAACCTTTTTGTGAATATTATTTTCTTAAACTTTTTCTTTTTTAAAATATTACTAATAATATTTTTTAGTAATTATTTTTCGTTTTTTTTCTGAGTCTGTTTATATATATATATATATATATATATATATATATATATATATATATATATATATATATATATATATATATATATATATATATATATATATATATATATATATATATATATATATATATATATATATATATATATATATATATATATTTTAATATTTATTTAATTAGCATTTGTTAATATTTGTTTATTAGTTATTATATGTGTTAATATCAATTAGTGATTAATAGAGTTAATTATTTGAAAAAAAGAAAATAATCAGAAAAAAAAAAAGAGAATCAGATTCTGAAGAAAAAATGGTTGGAAAGTGCCATCGTGTGAGCCCATTAAAGGCTGAGGGAGAAAGTCAGCATAAAACCCTCACTGTTCAGAGGGGAATAGAAAAAAACCTAATGGCTACTGTTAATGGTCTCTGAAAACGGCCTCCCTTTTCTCCCAAACCCTAAAAAAAAATTCATCCTCCTCTCTAAACTCAAAACCATAGCCGTGTCACCTTCTCCTTTCCCTCTTAAATCCGCCGCCATTCAAAACCCCAAACCTAAATCAAAACCAGATCCGCCGTTACCCAGCTAATTAAACCCTTCCACCATCTCATCCACCGTCCGCCATTTCCGCTGTGAAATACCTCAACCACCATCGTCGAAAACCCCAACATTTCATTGCATCTCCGTAAAAGAACTCCGCCCCTAACCCTCACTGATTCCCACATTTCCTCACTTTCTCTGATTTCCCCATCAACACCGATAAAGCATTCACGAATTTAGACCCAAGTCCACGTCCAAGCAACTTGGTTTTGGGGTTTTCGAATTTTGTTATGGTTTCAGTGATTTCTGCCTAGCTGAACTACAATGTGTTTTTAACGAAATCACAGCTCAGAGCTTACGGACCCACGTCAGTAGTAGTTAAAGAACAACACCATATCGTGCCTGCAACAACTGATCTTGAGTCATTATCTGTTTTTCTTTTTTGCAGGTAGATTTAAAAATCTGAGTTTGAAATGTTGATACTGTCTGGAAGTTTGCTGGGATTATATGATTCGCATTAATAAATATGGTGTATGCTGCCGATGTATCGATACAACTTCGAGCATCTTTCATTTGCTGTTGAGGATATGTTTTTACTGATATAAGAAATGGGGTCTGCATTTTCTTGTATTGTTTTTTTAAAACTCGCAGATTTTGGAGCATCATGACAACCACGAACGTAGAAATCGACAAAGCAACCTTCAAGTGTGCCACTGTTTTGGCATAACACGACAACAAGCTCTGCAACAAACTGCATAGGGGACCTTGCCGAGTTTCTTTGCGAGTTCATTTTAAAAAAAAACGGTTTCGCGCTTAGTAATGCTCATATCCAAGATAACGCAACAACAACATCGTGGCGATTCACTTGGAGAAAAAACGCAACACCAGAACAACAAGAGTAACAACTCTAAGTCATCTACCAACATCTGAAGTCGGCGTTGGTAAATCTTCGTATCTTTTTTCTTTGGCTCGATTGTATTCAGCACCTGATTAGGCTTGATTGGTGTTAGCATTCGATGTATTTATCATTATTTTTAAGATGTTTTGTGGTTGGTTTTTTTGTTCTAAACTTTGCCGAATATGCGACTTGACGTCGTTAATATTCGGGCTGTTCTGTTATGGTTTTCAATTCAGTCATATAATAGAGCTATGGATACTTCATTTAGATTCTGTTGCGATTTTGCATTATTTATTTTCAAATCATGGTCTAACTGATGGATGAATACATGAAACAATGATGTTCTGCTACATTTTTATCACGTTTCCAAGGACAATGCTGATACGTAAATATTTGCAAAAAAATGGTGCGTTCTGTTAATCTCGTGATATTTATGTCGATGTGGTTGTGTGAAATTGGTTATTAGTAAGTATCGCAACATTGAGTACTGCAATGGCTGCAACTTGTTGACTTCATTTCCTGTAGGATGTTTTGGCTTAAGAGTATAGACAATGTTTGAACGGTATAACTTCTGCCGTTGGTGTTTGCCATTTTAGCCGGACGATAGCTCAACATCATTAGCATTAGCAACTTGATATGCAGTTTATTTGTTTATTTTTGTTATTTGTTATGGCTGTTTGTTTAGTTCTGTTATTGCAAATCGTTGATGTTCGGTTTCGATGGCTTACGTTGCAAACTTACGATTTTGGAATTGTTTGAGAATGTTATTTTGGCCTGCTGATATACTTTACTTCATCAATATGGTGTAAATATTATAATGTGACCCTTCTTCTTTATGACTTCATGGTGGATTCATTAGAAGTTACTGTCACCTGCAACTTCTATCCTTTATTTATCCTTTTGTTAATTTACTGGTAGATTCATGTTTTATTTTTAATTAATTATAATTAGTTAATTAATGATATTGTTTGTTTTGACATGTAGC